CTAAAAAAAAAAAAAAAAAAAATCAAAAACACGGCAGATCTACGTACTTTTGCGTACCATCAACAACAAAAATTCAACAAAAAAGTATTAAATGAGGGCCTTGCTGTTTTCTGGGGTCTTGAGTCTCAACCAAAAAGAAAAAATAGCACAGACATGTATATTTAACCCTTAGGTTGTTTCCATGTACACCTGTTCACGCCAGTCGCTCTGTATATAGAATCACTACAGAGAGAAGCACATTAGGGCGAGAACGAAAATGTAAAGTCAATTCTCTCTGTTAATGAGCATGCTGTCAAAAGATAACACGCTCAAGTAGAAGAGAAATGATTTAACACAATAATGGAAAAAGTTTTATCTGCTGACAAAGAAGATGGTTTAAGGAAAGATAGTAAAATGTCTGTATATCATCGAGAAGATGTTAAAAGACTGATAACACAAATTCCACAGAAACTCGAGCAAGAAGATGGAAGTTAAAAAAAAAAAGATATCATCATTATCAACATCATCATTATCCTCTTTTGTCGTTTAAAAGTCACCTTTGCAAAATTAGGACAATGAAAGAGTCGACTGATTAGCAAACATGGAAGTCATACAGAACAGCCAGACACCGGATGTACTTATGAGGGAAAAAAAACATTGAGGTCAAGGCAGCCATTGGTGCCCATTGTTGAATGTTGAATGTTGAATCGACATCAAAGCACTTGGGACACCCCCATCTTCAGCAGCAAACGAAAAGTTCCAATTCCGATGGCACCAGAAACTGTCTGATTGTATATTCGTCTCGCCCTTCTCTTGAGTGTTGAGCGTCGATCCCCTGTAAACTCCACGTAGCACCATTCTCCTCAGACCATAAGGATCTATTTGCGCTTCCGCACTGTTCACTCGCTCCTAGAGAGCCCTCAAAACGTTTAGCTTGTCATACATCACTTCACCACTAAGTGGTGCAGAACCGGCCAGTCTATCTGTCTGCTCGTATTCCAGGGCACCGGCATTACCTGGATAGAATATCCAAAGGATACTAACTACCTGGGTCTTTATGAAGAAATGCTTACCACTCTTGTGAAATGTTAGAAAATGTTATCAAATTATATGTTGATTACACCTGTTAACTAGGACTCTGTCAGGATGATTTCTCTTAACAACTTGCATTTTCAACCACAGAGTCAGAAAATCGTGGATTTCAGCAACATTTTAATCCCAGCTGCCCACTTGTCCTCTTCCTGGCACATGCCAGGCGTTCTGTTTCCAAAGCAGCGTTCAAATTCCAAGACAAAATTTACTTTAAAATTTCCTTGTATTTCAAAGTGTTCGAGTTTTGAAACGTTAGAATTCCGAGGTTCATTTTACCTCTACAGCTACTTGTTGATCGCAACATAACTTAGTAACAGCAACAACAGGAGAAAAAAAAATTCACAGTAATATTTTGTTTTGTTTTTTAAAGCTGCGATCAGATTATGCTCACACTCCGCAAGACTGAACTCACGCCACTCACCTGGTCATGTTTTGTTCTGAAGACGGGGTCGCTTGAACAAAATTGGTAAAAATAATTCTAAGCAGAAATATGCAAAGACAGGTGATGACTTTAGAGTGGGTGAACTGTGACTTGTTTAACTTCCAGGATGCATCCCTCATTTCGAAGCCTGGCAGGAAAACGAACCGTCAGTCTTGTTTTCGTTGCATTAAAATGTGTTCTGTGTTTTAGACAAAAACGAAAATATATGTAGACAGATATATTGATCTTTTTTTCTTTTCTGAGAATCAGATTATCAAATAGATATATCGATGACTAGTTGAGAATCTTAACTTGAAATAGATATTATTATTATTCTCCTACCCCGCCACCTTTTTTTTCCTCTTTCTTCTTCACCTCCTCCTCAGCTTCCTCCTGGCAATTCTTCTTCTGCCTCTTCTTCTACTTTTTTTTCTTCTTCTTTTTCTTCTTCTTCTTCTTCTTCTTCTTCTTCTTCTTCTTCTTCTTCTTCTTCTTCTTCTTCTTCTTCTTCTTCTTCTTCTTCTTCTTCTTCTTCTTCTTCTTCTTCTTCTTCTTCTTCTTCTTCTTCTTCTTCTTCTTCTTCTTCTTCTTCTTCTTATTTTTCTACTTCTTTTTCTTCGTCTTCTTCTTCTTCTTCTTCTTGAGGAAGTGGAAGAAAATTGAGGATTAAGATATAATGAACACATTATGTTCGAGTTGTAAATATTGTTATGTCCCTCAGTAGCACTCTTTTTTATTGCCAACATCACACGAACTTCCATATTTGTTTGATAATTTTAACCAAACGCAATCTACCCGACTGTCCACCTATCCCACCCCCCCCCCTTTTCCTCTTTTTCTCCTATCAAGTCTGTTTGAGTTATTGTAATATGAGCAATAAAACATAGAGGGCTCAGACAACTTGAGTAAACAGCCTCTCTCTCTCTCTCTCTCTCTCTCTCTCTCTCTCTCTCTCTCTCTCTCTCTCTCTTGTTTTTTTCTCTTTCCATTGAAGGCCCATTCGTGTGC